TACACATGCTAGTCAATTGCTCTAGCTCACTGATCTATACCCCCTAGTCCTATAGATAGTTAATAGATCATAATATTTGTTTCTCCTTGCCATACACACTCAGAATGTGTATTCTTTTAATTTCTTACATTAACTGTGAAGTAGGAGCATTTTGTTATTTTTCTAAACATTAGTTGTCCCCAGAAACAGTCCACCAATTTACTTGTTCTTGCAGTTAGCATTTCTCCCCTTTCTTACCTGATACATTGAACCCACTAGTGCATTTCGGTGAACTGTTAACAGTTTACTACAGGTGAAAATTTAAACAATTGTTTCCAGGTAGTTCAGTGAGATTTTGAAGGGAAGGAAGGGAAATTAATTAAAAGCATCAGTTCAAATAGCCAAGTTCAAATGGCTGTTAAATTACAACCAAAAATAGTTACAATAAACCACTTTATGAGAATATTCCATGTTTTCTTTAAATTGAATTTCTACTCTATCTCAGAAGTACTACTGTCTCTTTTTTCCCTTTATAATATTAGAATATATTTCCTGAACAAAGAAATTGAAGAAGACACTAGAGGATGGAAAGTCCTCCCATATTCATAGACAGGTCAAATGAATATTGTGAAAATGGTCACATTACTGAAAGTGATCTACAGATTCAATACAATCTCCATCAAAATTTCATTGACAGTCAGGTGTGGTGGTGTATATTTGTAAACCCAGCACTCAGAGGCAGTGACAGGAAGATTGTGACCTCAAGACCAGCCTGGGCTACATAGCCAGTTCAAGGCCAATCTAAGGTACACAGCAAAACCCTGCCTCAACAAAGCAAGGGCAGGGAATGTAGCTCAATGGTAGAGCACTTTCTTAGCATGCACAAAGCCCTGGGTTTGATCCCTAGCAATGAAAATAAAATTCTAATGACAGTCTTTGCAGAACTAAAAGAAAACTAAATAGACTAAGATAATCAAAATTAAACTAAAAAAATCCTAAAATTTATATTGCAGCACACACACAAAAGAAATAATCCCAAATAGCTACAGCAATCTTGAGCAAGAAGAGCAATGCTGGGAAAACTGGATATCCATATGTAGAAAACTGAAACCAAATCCCTATCTCTCACTATAAAAATCAACCTAACGGGATCAAAGATCATGATGTAAGAGCTGAAACTTTGAAGGGAAAACACTATAAGACATATGCACAGGCAGGTCTGGTGTGCAACTGTAGTCCCAGTTACTTAAGAAGTGGAAACAGGAGGATCATGGTTTGAGGAAAGTCAGGGCAAAAGTTAGTGAGACCCTCTTTCACAAATAAGCCGGGCATGACTGTTTCCCAGCTACTCACGAGGCAGAGATAGGAGGATCACAGTTCAAGGCTAACCCAGGCAAAGTTAGTTTGGGACCCTATTTTAAAAAAGAACTAAAAGTAAAAGGACTTGGATGTGACTCAAGTGATAGAGCACCTGCCTGGTAAGCACAAGGCCCTGAGTACAATCTCTAGTACTAAAAACAAAACAAAATAAAATAAAAAAAACTATAGTCAAAATTTTAAAAAAGATAGTCAGAGGGTATAAGCAACAATTTTCTGGATAGGATTCCAATATTATGGTCAGCAAAGTAAGTCCGACTTAGAAAGACAATTATTGGATTTTTTTCTCATATATGGAATCTAGAAAACCAAGATGACATGAAAGTAAAAGGGAGACTAATAAAGAAGATGAAAAAGCTCATAGGATGTGGGTAGTGGGACAAGAGGAAGGAACAAGGAACTGCAGGGTAAGGATGGAGATGATCAAAGTATATGACATGCATGTATGAAAATATCACAATAAATCTCATTATTCTGTATAATTAATATGTTCTAATGAAAAGGATTTACTGGTCCTCCTAACTTAGAGATTTTATAGAGAAGCTCCAAATATGAGTAGAGGATACTACTAACTAATTTTATTATGCCCCCAATGCACAGTGTTGCTGGTGGAGTGGTTCAAGTGGTAGAGCATCTGTCTAGCAAGCACGAGGCCCTGAGTTCAATCCCCAGTACTACCAAAATGAAACTATTTCAAAGGGCAGTGTTACATTCAAAGTCAATTTAGTTAAATGACTATATAAAAGATATTATCAGTGTGTCTAAATAATAAAATAATTTTTGAGTTCTAATGAAGCACCCCATTAAGTTAGTTTTCTCAGCTTTTATTTAGAAAGTTCAGTAAAACAAGTCATTATCATTTAGAAATATTTTAATCTCACTATAATTTAACATTAAAAAAATCTACTAATTTTTGATTCACAGCAATGAAATTTATAAAAAATAATTTTACATTTATAAAATTGCTATTTCACAATAAATTATTCATTTCTATTACCTGAAAAATTGTGCATTATGTAAAAGCAATAACATTCCTCAACAGTGTTTTGAAAATATTCTAAAAAAAATCCCTTCTTTTGTGTCCAGCATTTTTGGCAGTTCAGTATATAAAAATATTATACTATAAATTCCCTGACCATAGTTTTTTATTGTTAAGTTAGTCACAAAAAATAAGTTTTACATTCTGAATTTTAAAGGTATTTGTTAAGGCCTGAATGTCTGTGTCCTCCAAACTCAGATTCACATGTTGAAAACTAGTCCCCAAGGTGATGGTACTAGGAGGTGGGAACACAGAGGTGGCTAGGTCATGAGGATGAGATCTTCATGGGTAAGAACAGTAAGCACCTTATGACAGAGGTGTCAGAGCTGCCTTGCCCCTTCATGTGAGAGCACACAGCCTGAAGGTGCCGTCCACGAACCAGATAGGAGCTGCCAGAGCCTTGGTCTTCAGCTTCTCAATGTGGAGAACTATAAGAAATAAATTCCTGTTGCTCAGAAGCAGCCCAGTTTATTCTATTTTATTATAGTAGCCTGGATGGACTATTTTTAAAAAATATCTCTATGAGAACAACCTAAAAAAGTAAACAAAAACATTCAGAGGATATCTGTATTTATAAAAAACAAAAACCAGCCTAGTTCATAAAATAGATACTAGAGTATTTTCAAAGAGTAAGAGTTTTAAAACCTTCCTCTCTCTCTCTCCCTGTATCTTTCTCTTCCCTTCTCCCCTCAATATATTTTATAGTTTCACAAGGATAGCAGCACTTGAAGAAATATTATTGATCTTATTAAGTCACTGACAGCTTGTGCATGTCATTTTTGTCACACTAAGGGTCAATTTCACTTTATGAGGCAATACATTATTTCACATTAACATAACTTTTTTATTTGTAGGGTAGGTAGAAGTTATAAATAATAACCTCAGAAATTTTGAAGGGCCTATTAATTCAATGTCTTACAGCTTGATACTGATTTTTTTCTTTTTATGTATCATTGATAATTAGTCAACCAATTTTGGCTTCAGCAAGGAGAGAAAGAGAGACAGGTGGGGGAGACTGTTTCATGAAGCAGCCACCCTATGATTAACTCTTTTTAAAATAAACTCCAGCTGTGAGAGATATCAGGCAGCTCAGGACTACAGTGAGCTGTACTCCTTAGTCTAGAACAAGATAGACAATATATTTGTAGGTTTCTGAATTTTTGAAAATCTGCAAGTCAGTAATTTGAAGTGGCTTTTTTTTTCTTTAAAATCTAGTTGTACTCTTACTTTTCTTTAATACTTTTCAGAAGAAGATTCTTTAAAATTACTGAAGTGGCTTCTTATTCACACTGCAATATTTTTACTCATCACTTACATGTAGATGTATATTATACATGAATTGATAGATGATAGCCATTCATTAGTCAATGGCACATACTTAGAAATCAAACTGTGTGCCAGGTATGGTGGGCTCAAGCCTGTAATCCTGGCTACTTGGGAGGTGGAGATCAGGAGAACTGCAGTTCAAGGCCAGCACCAGTAAAATGTTCATGAAACCCTATCTTAATCAATGATTGAGCATGGTGATACATACCTGTCATCCCAGATATATGGGGAAGCACAAACACAAGGACTGATCCAGGCTGGCCAGGGCATGAAGTGAGACCCTACCTCAAAAATAATCAATGCAAAATGAGCTGGGTGTGAGCATGGCTCAAGTGGTACAGCACCTGCCTAGCAAGTGCAAGGCCGGAGTTTAACCTCAGTACCATAAAGAAAACAAAAAACAAGCAGAAACCATACACTAAGAAGTTCACATTCTTCTTTGCATGCTCATTAAAGTCAAGCAGACTTGACTTGACTTCTCTTACTCTACAGGGTTATGAATTTTGCTTATGTTCTACCTCTCTTACAGGGTTGTTGTGAGGATTAAATGAGGCGCATGTGTGGTAGACAGCTAATTTGTCTCCCAGTATGGGTTCTTTCAGAGTTGTACAGCTGTAGCTGGCACAGGCTTCCCACCTACAGGTGCTGTCTTGGCCTCCCTGAGAGCTGGATGTGGAAATGCTAATTTCTGTCAATGAATGACTTTCTAGATTGTTTTAGGTGAGAGAAATAAGTGTCTCTCTTGGTCAGGCCACAGTTTTAGGATTTCTTTGTTAGTTTAGCTTGCATCCTAACTGATAAAATTAACATGATTTATCTTAGCATACATCTTCAAATACGATCAAATTTCCAAGAGTATCCAGTCAGCCTTAGAATGGCTTATAATAACCTTCTGAATTTAAAATAGTCACATTTAACTGTGCACTGAAGAGATTCTTCTTAACCACAGAATGTCCTCGAGTGATTCTTCTTCAAAAGAACACTCCACTCTGTTGTACAGCCACTGCTTTCTTTTCCTAATCTGCAAGTTTATAATTTATATATTAAAAAAACCTGGTTCATTTTATATTAACCTAGCATTTATGATTGACTATTCTTAGCCAAAAAGAACACTTAGTTCTGCATCACATTACAATAAAGCAATTATTTACAGATTTAAATTAATAATATGAAAACAAATGAAAGTAGTACATAAGATTCGACTGGTTCCAGCACAGTGTGGGGACGGGTAGGACGACACGCAATACAAACAATTTCAAACTCAGATATACATTGTTTTCATGTGAAAGTTTTACACCAAAGCAAGAATAAACAAAATGAGTTATACAAACAGGAAAATAAGAAACCATCTTAAAACAGCACCATGAAGGAGCCTTGGCTGAGTGTGCCAAAAGTACTATCCTGAGATATTTCAAGACCAACAGCTTTTCACATTTCTGCAGTGCCATTCAGAAGTAAACATTTTCTCACAATTGCTTCTGTTTGGAGAGGGGTTGGTGTGAAATGACTGAAGCTTGGTTTGCAGTGATTTTGTACTGCTCTTGTCCAGAGCCTTGTGGTGGGGAAGGCAATGGGGTTTCAGGAGTTGCTGAAAAAGAATCAGAGAATTGTATGTGATGGTAGCAGCCAACTTGGCTCACTCCATTAAACCCTACACAAGGCTAATATGCATTATTATATTTGTAAATGTTTTTTAAAAGATCATATGTAAAATATTGATTTGTCTAATGCATTATCAGCCCATTGACATACTAATGGAGAGGCACTCTCTCCCTACATCCCTCATTAGCATTAAGCAGTAATCAATCATGCTAAAGGTGTTTTCTGCCTTCTTAATAGCATTTATGGGCATTTCACTCTCCTACAAACCCAGCAGAAAGAAGTTAGTGAAAGAAAGAAGTTAGTAGAATGCTAGTTTTTTTAATAGTAGAAAATAATTTTCATAATGTTTACAATCAAAATGCACATAAAATTAAAATATATTTGGCTTAAATTCACTAATTTAGACATATTAGATGCCATACAAAATTGAAGATACTTTATAAGTGGTTTGAAATCTAAGCATTAGTCAGAAGCATCTGAAACACAGTGGCTTTGTTGCTTCACAATTATTCTATTACAATTGAGCTGACCTGTCCCTTCCCCTTCAATGGAAAGAGCAAGCCTGAGTAATTGAATAGAAAGTAATTGAATATAAAAAATTGAATTGAACATAAAAAATTATAGTTTGAATACTTCATTGTCTAGGAAAGTATTTCTTCCCATTGTCAACTTTTACCATATTATAAAATAATCTAGGAGCTATTCTATCATTTAAAAAACTTTGAAACATTTTAGTACTCACACTTATTATTTCCAATACTTAACAAAAACAGAAAATGTTTGATCAGGCTCTGGCACTTGTATTTTATAGATATTTTTCTCAGTTTTTAAAACTCTTGCAAAAACAAGAACACTCTCATTAATATATTAACTTTATATTATTGTTAAGTATGGATTGTTACTACTTGGAAATAACATTTTTAAATGCAGTAAAATTAACAAAAGAATATCTAATTTTGCTTTCCAAATTATTTCTGGAAATTTGGAATGGATTTTGATTGTAATGACGTCCTCTAAGATCAAGGACGTATGTATAAACTTAAGGTTTTGTTGAATGAGTTTAATATCTTGCTTAGGTTATAATATAAACTTTTCAAGTAGGCACAGTTTTCTTTTACATGTGATTCTCATAAATGTTGAAAAGGAAAAAATGAGAAATGAGATGATGCAATTTTTACTATATTAGGGTGAACAAATATCTTTCTTAAATACTACAACAGTAGCATTTAAAAGGTAAAAGATTCTACTGTCAGTAGACTTGTCAGGCTGTCTTCCCAGTTGATGTCTTTTACTTTGTCAGTTCATGAACCATTGATCTCTGTCACTTTCTGACATTTTCTCTTTCTTTCTCTGCTTTTAATTATTTTATTAAGTAACATTAATTTGAAAGGACAGTCACAAATTAATGTGAGTCAGCATGACATATTATTTCCAGAATTTGAAATTTTTCCTAACAATTTCATTTTTCTCATATACTCAAGAAATTTTGTGTTTCAGACACAATTTACCAGTGCTTGTTTCTAAAGGGCGACACAGTAACATGCAGTTCTATAGCCTCTAATTTCCTCACCACTAGCTAGAAGTCAGGTACTATTTCTGAAATTAGCATTCAATTACATGGTATATTTAGGTACAACCTTGTAACTAGTTATTAAAGACATTTATAAATTCAGAAGCAATGCTTGTATGCATAATTAGTTATATCACAGTAATTCAAGTCATCTGAGCAAGTTAGCTGGTATGGTATTCAGAGGCAAGAGATCAAAGGTAAATTTAGGATTAATTAGTACAAATTCTGAAATAATTTGTTATGGTTTGAATATGAAGTACCCCTCATAGACTTATGAGTTGAAGGCTTGTCCCCTAGCTGCTGGTACTATTTGGGGAGGTGGTAAGAACTTTAGGTGGTGGGGCCTAGCTGGAGGAAGTGGGTTATCATGTTCCTGGATGTCATAAAGTGGGCAGCAGTGCTCTACTGCCCCCTCCACACAGGCCCACAGTGCTGGAACCAAGTGACTACTGACAGAAACCACTGAAACTGTGAGCCAAAATAAACCTTTCCCTCTTCTGAATTGTTTTTTCCAGGTAATTTTTTTCACAGAACAAAAAACCAACACATAATTAGTTATCAATTCAAGGTATTTGGTCAAATAAAGTTTTATTCCCAAAGTAGCTTAGAAAAATAGAACCTGCATTAAATTCACAGTAATGTCTAGTTAACTTATTTGCTAAAAAACTCTGATACTTATTGTCGTTTGAGTTCCACAGAATATTCATAAACAGTCATACTTTGCTCAATTCTGATATGCAGGCTCAGTTTCTTGCACCACTCTTGCAATAACATGGTTTAAATTTTAGTTACCACAGTATAACTCACAATTAACTGTGAGTTACTGCATAAGTAAAATTTTACTACCAACTTTTCAGTCTACAAACATCTTCCTAAGAGACAGATTTTGTGATCATGTGACATCTTTCTGCCTGTCTGTGGTTGGTCACTGATCACATCCCATCTTTCTGTCTATCCATGATTGGTTACTGATCATGCCCTATCTTTTGATCTGTCAGTGATTAGTCACTGAACATCTTTTATTCAGTTCATGAACTGATGGCAAAGTATTTGTGATATTCCTTCTCTCCCAGTGATGAATTCATGTAACATTCTACAAATAATGGATAATTGAAGAGAACTGACCAATAGAGATAAAAGTGCAGCAAAGAAATAAAATGAAATAATGCTGGAAGAGAAATTCTAATTGAACATTAACGGACTCATGGAAGAAGCAGCTGAACATGGGGATGTTGATGCTGCCATGTTTCAGTCTAAATATGCACCTAAGAACTTAGTCAAGAAAAACTTGCCACATAAGTCAGGAGTTTGGATGTGATAAAAAAGACAAAGATGTCCCAGAGGAAGTGAAATCAGCAAAAAAAACTTCACATTAAACAAATTCTCAGAGATATTTGAGGACATTGAGCATGCAAAGGATAAAATGTTGGAAGCTGATCCAAACTTCCAAAGGGATAAAATTCCTCAGGGCCTAGAAAAAAGATGGTCACTCCTAACTATAAGTTTTAACAGAAGTCAGCAAGTACTATTCAAACTACTTCACAATTTTCTTAGCACAAAACTAAAATGCTATAATTCCCAATGTCTCTCTCTAATGTTTCAACTTAAAGTGAACTAAATAAGTATCAGTATTACCCTTCTCTTCCCAATTTCTCTACATGTTTATATCTGTAGTTAAGAGAGTTCTTAATGTCTCAACATTTTTAAAGGTCAACCATAATTTTCTAATTGATTACTAGAATTCCTTTGCACGGTTTCAGCTAGTATAGTCATTTTTAAGTCAGACACCACCATGCAAAACATACCTGTATGTTTTTTTGTGCTCCCCAAATCTGTGAAATAGAAATATTTAAATTTTCACATGTTCAGTTTACAAAGCAAACTCACTCTTAAGAAGAATAAGTATCTAGCTGAATATTACCATCTCCCATAGTTGAGTCCTGGAGAGGAAATTTCTACCCAAGTTTTGCAATTTCTGGGTTCTAGTAGATCCCTCTCCCAAATTCTATTTTTTCTCAAATAACTCAGATTAAGAAATGTTACATTAGAAAAGTACCTTCCCCCCCCATACACACACATACAAATACTTACAGATCTGGTCTGTATGCACCAGTGTTGACATGGGACCTAAAAGTATAGTTTGTCCAGTTAGTGGATCTTGAGATAAATGTGGGTGCATTGGATGATGGAGATGGCTGGCCTCATTGGAAGCACCTATAGAAGATACAGAGATGCTTACATTAGTGATATTTATCAGGAATGGCAAGTTTATTGTGGCATGGATGTTTTGACTGACAACTTAAATATGGCTATTTTTGCAGAGTGCTTTCTGAGAATTCAAAAACAAATTGATAGAACTACTGCCATATTAAGGACAATGTCAGCTTTTACTATACACTGGCTAGATTAATGTTGTATCATAATGCTGTACATTAATAATGTACCTTGTGTGCCATTTCCTGGAATCATTAGGTTTGCTGCCTGTTTTTAAGACAATTCCAAGAATTACTTACCTCAAGTTTATAGTATTTGGAATCACCTAATAGCATGAACAACCTTTATTTCAGAAAGATATCATTAGGAAGACATTAAGCAACAAAAAGCTAAAAATAAACACAGTGATTTTACAAGGAAATTTAATCTAAATCAGAACAAAACACAAATGATTTCTTTACTTATTCCTGACATGTATTGTGACACTGAAGTCTCACTTCCCTCTTCTATGATTTTGCACTAATTAATTCCTTCTGGAGCAAAATGTTCATTTTTCAGCCATTTATTTTATATATAGGCTAGGCTGCAATTCCTATATTCTTGAAATTTTAAGGAGAGCAGGCCCCTAAAAGCAGGAAATACATTTCTATTTACCAGTTATGGAAGGATCTGAAAATTGAAGTCAAGGAGACTGTATGAAGGAATGATGGTAAAAACTGGGATTTAAATCTGTTCACGAATTTCTGTCCCTCCATCCTCCTCCAAAGGGTTTTATAGACAGTCTAAACATAACAAGTTGAATTTGTTATGTCATGGTTGAAGAAAAAACAAGTGCAACACATGGCAGCTTCAAAGATGAAAGAAACTTGTTCTAATGTACTTTTTTTTTTTTTTTTTTTTCATTTTTCTTTTATTATTCATATGTGCATACAAGGCTTGGTTCATTTCTCCCCCCTGCCCCTACCCCTTCCCTTACCACCCACTCCGCCCCCTCCCTCCCCCCCCCAATACCCAGCAGAAACTATTTTGCCCTTATTTCTAATTTTGTTGGAGAGAGTATAAGCAATAATAGGAAGGAACAAGGGTTTTTGCTGGTTGAGATAAGGATAGCTATACAGGGCATTGACTCACATTGATTTCCTGTGCGTGGGTGTTACCTTCTAGGTTAATTCTTTTTCATCTAACCTTTTCTCTAGTACCTGTTCCCCTTTTCCTATTGGCTTCAGTTGCTTTAAGGTATCTGCTTTAGTTTCTCTGCATTATCTAATGTACTTTGAACAATGCTTATTAATAGAAGAGAAATTCTTAAGTGTACTTACCACCCAGTAACATTTCCTGAAGTAGGTTGTCAATTTTGACCATGCCGAAAAGTTTAACGAACTGTATTTGCTCGATCATTTGCCAGGTGATGCTCTGCAGCGTAGGCAGAAGAAGCAGAAGCTCCCCAAACCTTCCTCGGGAGTCGTACTGCCGATCGTTGATGTAGTCCTCCAAGCTGATCTGCACTTGGAATCTCATGTTCTTAATCTTTACTGGGTCACTTAGGCCTTTAGCATCTAATGAAGGAAGATAAAAGGCAATCAGAAGACTTAACCTAACTAGAGTGTGAGACTAAATATTCTAATATGAAAAAGTGATTTAATTTTCATTATATTATTTTTAATGGGACTTTTGTAAACAAACCTGGGTCAAAAAATACAATTGCCTTCAAACAAGCGTATTCATTGTCATCAATCTGGATTTCCTGAAAAGGTCGAACCAGCTCATCTAGAACCCGATTGGCCACACGGCTGATCTCAACTTCGCAGCTGTTACGGTGAATCACGTAGTTGTTTCCTACGCAAAAAACGAAAATTATTTCCTCTGCTAAATTGTCAGACATTGTTTGAACTTTTATAAGCCATGTTTAAAATAGTCTGCTCTTTACTCTTGAAAGGATTATGTAAATTTTTCATCCCTCAGTAGTGTGAAGTTAGCAATGTTAGAAAAACTTAAGAGTATTTAAAGAATCAATAAAAGTGATGATGTGATCACATGCATATAACGTTATCACTAGGTTACTGGTGATAACAAAAATGTGCAGACTAATAACAAGCTAATAATTGACAAGGGAGAATCAAAATATGACTTGCTTTCCTTATTGTCAGTCACCTATTAGTGTCTTACTCATTAATAAGCATAACACAAATCCTAAAGGAATGTTCCTGCTTACAGTGAATTAAAAACAGCACTCCTCTGGTGCCCCAGGCCTATGGAGTAAGCACTACTGAGACAATTTTAACAAGTCTAAGTTACAGGAGGAAAACTAGCACATGTATTCTCATGGGTGGCTTCCTGGATAATATATTCCCTCTTCCTGGATTTGCTGTAAATGGAGGTTATTTGTTACTTTATGGGGTTAAACCCAAGGCAGTTTACAATTTAGACAGAGGAGTGGGATCACCTACTCCCTTAGAATCTTCCTAACTTAGACATTCTCTGGCTCTAATATGATAAATATTTATGACAGCATCTAAAGTAAAGCTAAATTGCTATTTTCTGTTTTTATAAAAAAAAAAAAGTAGAATATTCTGACTCTCCCACTATGGGCAAAGACAATTATTATAGTTTGAATCTTGAATGACCCCTGTGTGTTGAAGACTTGGCCTCTGCTCATGGCCCCGCTGGGAGATGATAGGACAATGTACTGTACTGTCCCAGGCCCAAGGCAAGAGGGCCAACCAAACAAGACTGAAGCTATGAGCCAAAATAAGCCTTTCATCCTTTTAAGTTGGTTATCTCAGTAATTTTGTCACAGTCAGGGAAAGTTAACTAACATAAAATCTTCAGGGTAACAATATGTCCAAAAATAAACATTCCTCCCCAGCTTTATTAAGGTATGAAACATAAAACTATAGTACCTATTTAAAGTATACAATGTGATATACTATATTCAAGCTAACTTGTTTTTGAGGCTCTCTTTTGCTTATAAAATTACTTGATTTTTCAGGGTAAAATACTTAAGAATGACAGAGAAAACACGTTGTTTGCTAGGGTGTAAGACATCCAGATACATAGTTAGAACAGTATTTGAGGTGTTTATTAGGAATTCAAAAGAAATATTTAATAGAGATTCAGAGCATAGTCTCTGCAGTCCCATTACAAGTTGAGAATTCTAGCCATCTCTTCTCTAGCAGTGTGACCTGAGGTAAACTTTCTCTTCCTCCATTTCCTCACCTGTAGAATAAACTGAACAGGATAGTGCTTATTTCAATGATTAATTGAGAGTGTGTATGTGTGTGTGTGTGTGTGTGTGTGTGTGTACAGGCCATGTACTTACAGCAGAGCACTTACAAGTCAGCCCTTAATAAATACTAGTTAATGTTACATTGTGTCCATTCATTTATATTTGGGGTCAAAATATCAACCACAAAAAATAAAATAAAATAAGTCAAGCACCAGTGTGGTTCACACCTACAATCCTAGCTACTCGAGAGACTGAGATTTGGAGGATCATGATTCAAAGCCAGCCCAGGCAAATAGTTCACAAGTCCCCCTCTCCAAAATAACCAGATCAAAATGGGCTGGAGGTATGGTTTAAGTGTAAAGTGTCTGCTTTGCATTCAGGAAGCCCCGAGTTCAAACCCCATTCCTCCAAAAAAAATAAATAAGTAAATTAAATGAATAAATAGATAAAATAATTCAGTCATTTATTTTTGCATAAGTAAGACAGAGGTAAAGCAAATTAGCATTAAAAGGATCTCAAAACTCCAAACCTAACTTTTGAATTAATAAAGTTGATACTGGAACAATTAGCTAATGAAAACCAAAGCTTTTCCTTTGTGTCTTTTCCCCCTCCTCATCTGCCATCCCACTTTTGTTTCTTTTAGCACTTCTGTCAGAATTCTTTAGACATTACCACTAAATTTTTCCCATGATTATATTTCATGTTACATTACAGGCAATAAAATCATAGGGGAATAAACATTTCCTTAAAAAATGTAGTGAGGGGTTGGGAGAGGAAGGGAAGGGGTGGGGGAAGGGGGGAGAAATGACCCAAACATTGTATGCACATATGAATAAAAGAAAAAAAATAAAATAAAGATTCCCTTCAAAAGCAAAAAAAAAAAACAAAAACAAAAAGTAACATGAGGGAGTGTGAAGACACACTGGGACTCCGTGGGTGGTCACCGATTCTGTCTCAATTTGATTTTAACATATCTCAGCATCGTATTTGAGCGACATCTCTTTTTCACTTTTAAATCGGAATGTTCCTCATTCACCTCAACAGCACTGTAAATGTACATGCAATCAAAGCAAAGGAATACAGCGGTCACTGAAGGATGCAATCAATTCCATCCAATCTGTGAAGCAGGGGTACCATTTGACAGTTTCTGTGAAGGCTCGATACAAACAGACAGCTCCTCATATTATTATAAGAATAAATATGCATAATTTCTTCAAATGAAAAAAACCAGCTTACCCAAAAGCAAAATATCTTTATACATCATGGATCTCTTTGTAGCTCCAAGCAGCAAGTGTTCTCCTGCGTGAGCTCTCAACAGGGCCACCTTGATGAAAAATTCCATGTTTAACAATTAATTATAAAATACAACAACCAACAGATGGTACAATATGAATCTGATCTAACTAACAGTGAGTGTTCTTTAGGTATGTGACTTTTGTTCTAACAAACTATAATATTCATAGATATCTGCCATTGAAAAGCCTTCTAGTTTTCTACCTTAGAATGTCAACAGATTTTGCCCTTTCAAAATTTCTAGCATTACAAAAAAAGAATACTGTTAACTATTTTGGAGGGAAACAGAATCAAACAGACTAGAGTTCAAATCCTAGCTTGACCACTTGTTCCCTGGTTAACCTTGGATAAATTAGCCAGTATGTTTAGAACTTATTTATTTTCATCTGTAAAATGGAAGTAGTGATAAAAAATGCCTCAGAGTGTGCTTACGAGGACTGTGGAAAAAAATCTATGTAAAACATAATCTCTTCCACATAATACACAGAATAAACAAAAGCAAGCAAAGACTTGAAGTGGGAAGTACATAAAAGTCTGCGTTCTGCTACTTTCTAAATTGAGTCTCTGATGCTGCAGTAAACTCTCAGTTGAGCTTTATTCATTCAATCAATTGTGTGCCTGGTATCACCACAAGGAAGTAGAGGATGCACTTCAGATTTCATGTTTCTCTAATGTCTTCATCATTTTAGTAAATGGCATCATAACCAAAGTATTTGTTGACATCCAAGCAAGAATCTATTTTGAATCCTCTCTAACTTTACAGCAAATCCTAGTGCTGCCCATCAAAATATAAGACAAGTTAATTCACTGCTTTCTATCTCCGTTGCTGCCACACTGGTCCAGACCCTTATCATTTGTTACCTGAATCATCCCAACATACTCAGTTGGTATTGCTGTTTACTCCATCCTAAATCCTTCTTGACAAGAGCTTCCAAGTTGATATTTCAAAAATACTAATCAATTAGTATCATTTCTCTGCTAAATGGGTTCTTACTATCCTCAGAATGAAGTCCAAACTCTCCAATTATGGTTTCCCAGGTGGCAGGAAGAGTGAGGAAAGGTCAATGCTTTGCCTCTTATACCCCATATTTCTAGCTTTATCTTGCAACACTTGTTCACATTATTCCTGCCTGACTCAGAACCCTTGAATGTGCTCTTTCTATACTCAGAATATTTTCTCCTTGGATCCTGATGCACTTGACCGTCATTTAGGTCTTGGGAAATATATTCTCTAATCCCCACTATAAAGTATGTCTTTCCATCTCACCCTCAGTCATTCTCCAACTCATCCTATTCCTTTTATAGAATTTTATAGAATGTATCTCCACCTAAAATTAACTTACTCATAATTTGTACAATTTTTTATTGTCTTTCTCTCCAAACCAGTTTACAAACTTTATGAGCCTAGTGAGGCAATCTGTACTTTTATGGCAAAATACCCACGGTTCTTAAAATCAAAAATAATAGTCTCCTAATAAATACTCATTTGATGAATTTATGTAATGAATTTAACTGATTTAGGGTTTATGTAGGGAGATAACACCTACACAACAGAATTTCTGAAAGAATTAAATAAAACAATGTAACTCATAATGTATCTGAAAGCTAATTTCCCAGTGCCAAACCCATAACAGGCATTAACCAATCCATGGCTATTAATGTTAATAATAACCATAATGTTAATATTAAGTCTCAGTTAGCAAACAAAAACTATTTGGGACTGGTTTCTGGATTTCTGTTTCCCAATATTTGAACTTCATACATAAGCCAGCAACTTTTAAAGAATAATGATAATAAAAATATAAAACTGATAAATAATATAGCCTGACTTATATTGCTTAGGGTGAGACTGGTAGGTTTTAGCAATTTAGCATTATTCATTCTGGCATAACCTTCTGAGCCAAGCTATCTTTATGATATGTCAATAACTGTGACTCATTCCAGGAAGGCAGTTACAAAACATTTTAAGAATGATTTCAGATTTCACAGTATTTCTTCCCTGTCATCAGATGAAATGCTTTCTTAGAAACATAACTATTAAGTTTCTATGATGAATTTTGCTCTTATTGCATAAACATTTTGCCCTTCCTTGATTTTTACACAGTCATGCCCTTTTCCTCTAATTGTTTTTTGTTTTGTTTTTATGTGTCAATGATAAAGAACACTGTCAGAGGTTACATAACTCTACACTGGGTATAAAAGTTATCTTGGTTAACGTGAGAGAAGTGGAAATTTTTTAATTATTTTCATTTATAAGAAATTATACACTCCTTATTAAGAAGAATTTAAAATACATCTTCATGGACAAATTAAGAAATACGAGTTCCTAATTATTAATTATAATCTTAGTATACATGTGAAAAATATTTTTACATGTGTTAGAAAAATGACTGTATCAAAATTATTCTACTCATAATTTTTCAGAGATTTTTTTCATGTCTATATTTTTATATACAATAAGAGCTAGAATGAAATTGACAGAATGAAAGGCAAAACATATATGTTAATTGTACCATGTGACCATAAAGACATATCCTCTTTAGTTTCTGTGTAGGAGTATTTCTGAGGATTTTAGGAATCTTCAGGAAACTCAAGACAACACAGCACACCGTTTACCTCAAAGACATTTATTCTTCTAATACCTTGACTCACAGTAGTAGTTATTTGGTGTTTACCTTTCTCCCTTTTGTAAGCTTTTTAAATTCCGAAAGGGCAGAGCAATGTCTTGATCAACTCTTATCTAATCAATAAGATTGCTAGATCCTTAAATAGAAGTCAAATAGTTATGCCTCTTGACAGAACAAGAAGATAAAAAAATAAGAAAACCCAATCCTTTCCATTACAAGATAATTTATACTTTGCTTAACATAGTGAATGTATTCAAAAGTGAAAGAACATAAAAGTTTAAAAAATACATTTTGAAGTAGTTATAGTTTCTTGAACTTATACCTGGTCATCCAATGGCAACTCACAGAAGGCAGGAATATATTTTGCCCATTCCACCAAGACTAAGAGCTGCTGCTTCATAGATTCACAGACATCACCAATACTTGCAATTTTCTTAACGTTTATGTCAGTGCTTGCCCCAGGGCTTGACACTGAGATCTAGCAGTAAGCAGAACATTATATTAACTTATCATTTAAAACAACAGACGGCCAGCATTCCCTCTTTTCCTATGACTGTGCTAATAAACACCATGGAAGCAGGCACTGTCATTATCATATTATCTTCAAACACATTAAACATCTTCAAATTGAAAAATACAATACCTATCAGTTCACAAGCAAAATTGAAAACGTTCAGTACATAGCATCATGTTATGGGAGTAGAATCTTATTTTAAAGGCCAAATCTAAAAAGTTACCACAATTCTAGGAAGTTTCACAATGCAAAGTGACTACATGACAAAATAGGTAGTATCCACATGGAATATGCCCTGAGAGTTTATGTTTAATTAAAAATGATATTTCCATTCAGTCCATATTTAATTTGTCTATGCTTATGAAAAAAATTAGCCAGTGGATTAAACTTATCAGGCTGAGGAGAAAATATTTAGATAAGAAACTAGAACTATTTATGTTGTTATAATAAATGGAAGTATATCAAAATAAGATTAAGACAAAAGACCCTGTCTCAGCAATGTTGAGGATCTTAACATATAATGATAAACATTGAAAAGCTGTATATAATTTTAAACCCTAAAAGTATAAGTGGTATTCACAATCCTTTCTGCTGAAAAATCAAACACCGTGTAATGAAAGTTTTTGTGAACTTAATTTTTAAGCATGGGTGCATGCATGTATGCCTGTGTGTCATTATGTGTACCTGGATATTTCCTCCCAGCTTCCTCTTAAGCCATTCTCTAAATGCTTTATTGGACCATCAAGTAATCTTCAAGTAATGATGATGATAATGGGATGGTAACCTCGTCATATTACTCTTGGGTTATCAAGAATGAAAGTAGTCTCACTGACTGTAGGTCCTCATGAACAACTGAGCTATTTCATAATTTGCTTATATTAGAAAAACATCATGAATATTTGCAATACAGATGATACTAAAATAAATTTGCTTCAAAGTATCTTTTTAATTGGACTTAAATGATTTATTTTTGTGCATAGAACTAATGACTTTGTTTTTACACTTACACCTGCTTATTCTTATTCTAGAAATTTAAAATAATAAATCTGCCTTTCCCCTGTGTTTTTTGAATTCTGACTCTTCATTTAAATATCTATTCCCAAAGCAAGTGCCAAGAATGCTTCCTGAATTCAGAAATCATTTTCAAGGAAAGAAACTCTGATGATATGTTTCAACCAAACTACCCAAAAGTTGCAGCAACTGAGGTTTACAGATTCAACCAATAAAAAAAAAAAATACTGGCCCCAGAGCACTGTGGCATGCAGGAAGCATTTTTAATCCAGCCTATAAACATATTACTTTTCAGGCAATTGTAGACCAACATTCATTTCATTTAATAAGAAAGTCATGTCCAAGAAAAGTCAAAATTAAGTCAACAGTCCCACTAATACTTTCAAAGTAAACTTTTGAACTTGTGTAGATGCAATTTACTTTAGTAATGAGCACATTTGAATAAATTGGTTTATTTTTGCATTAGGTCGAAGTAGACATTGGATTCTATTAAACAAAGCTGGATGGTGGTATGTGCAACAGGTACCTGGCGAGACCGATTTTCAGCTTGGGCCAGCGTATTAATGGACGGGATGTTGCTACCATCATACGTGCTTCTTCTGGTGCTTATTCTATCACGTTCATTTTGCACAGCTGAAGAAGAAAAACCATAGCATTTATTGTTCAGAACTCTTTAATATACACCAGGATATACAGTTGGAGATTTCTTAAAAAGTACAAAAGGTAAGAAATGATCTTTGTAAAGGACCTTGGTGGTGAAAAGTAACACTGAAGAGCTTCTCATTTTGTACCACTTTCAAAAGCAGTGATAGCCCAACTTGTCCCTACAGCTCATAAAATGTGGTTATTTGAGACTTCGTGATAGCATGCTTTTTAAAACACGTTGGGTTAATTAGTTGGAGTTTTAGGAGGATGATTTTCTATTCTCTTAAAGTTAATAAAACTATAAGGTAACTAGAGAAATATTATCACATGTAAGACAGGTCAAAGATAGGAGTGTATTTACTATCAGAAGATATGAGTCATAGGTTTTGAAATTTCTATTTTTTTTCTATAAAACATTACCAAAATAGAAAGTAAATTTATTTTTTTAAATGGCTTTAAGATTACAATGTTATGACCTTTTATGAAACACAGTCTTTGGGACAGTTTACAGACATTATTTTAAAACAAGTCATCACATCAGTCTGAAGTACCTTCTGAGAAGATTGAAGTTTAAGTATCAGTTTTTTGGAAAGGTGAAGTTGTCCCTCACATCATATAAAAGGTCTCTAAGAGAAAGCTAGACTTTCCTTATTTCAAAAAGAATAATGTATATCTCCAAATCTGTTATTGAAAAGTATATTTTTAAATATAAAATCTGTAAACAGGAGTATTAACTCATATACTCATATAAATACTATTCATAGAGAATAGAACAAATCAGATGTCAAAGTTAGATTTCGACACTTAGGAAATAAGATTATCTTCCATTAACCCAAGAAAAGAAAAGCAAGGCCTGTAGCCCTAAATTATTTAGGTTAATATTCTAATTTGTTCTGTTGGAAAGATCAGGCATTAAAGCATCACTTTTGCTGTAATTATTGTTTTATTAAAGAACAATTTTGGTGGAACAGATTCTGCCCAGGGAGGGAGGGGTGCGGTTGGCACTGGTAAGAAGGGGGAGATGGCAGGGAAAGGAGTAGGAGGATGAATATTGTGCAAACAATGTACACACATGTATGTAAATGCAAAAATGATACCTGTTGAAACTGTTTCAGGAATCAGGGGAGGAAGGAGGGGGAAGGGGAAGAGCAGTAGAGAGGGTGAATTCAAGTATGATATATTTGACACATTGTAAGAATCTTTGTAAATGCCACAACGTACCCCCACCCAGTACAACAATAAAAAAATAGAATAAAATGAAAAACAATTTCTTGGCCAAAGTCTTGTAACACAGACCTGAAAATATTAATTATCAGCTTCACCTGTTTAGAGAGAAAATATTGGAATTTTTTTCCCTTAAGATAGAGAGAGTAATCTTTAAGTTGGGGTGAATCATTAATATTTTATTTTAAAGTCATACTTATGGATAGCTTACTCATTTTTCAGCAGAAATTGCTACTGAATTTAAACCTAAACTGACTCATTTGGAAATGAATATATAGAGATAAATTTTAAGATATTTTTTCTGCTTTTTCAAATTTCATTCATATGATCAAGTATCATAAAAATACTAAAAAGATATTACAAACATTTATAAAATTTTCACTTCTCTCATTTTTGACAATAATCCATGTTTCTATGTTTCCATTTATATAATCTTGATACTAAGCTATGGCTGTAAAGAGAAATATACCAAATATAAGTGTACCAAATATACTTTGAAACTCAAAGGAAAAATTAAAGCATCATTTCATGAACTATAGTAGATATAATTTCACTATTTTAAAAATAATTTTATTTCACAAATTGTCAAACTCATAAAGAAAATATAAGATTGGGCTGTTTTTCACAATTTTGTAAGGGTTAAAGGTTGATGTTCAAATAGAAAGGAATGAAGACATTTGACAAAGTTTGTAATTACTCCTATAAACTATCCAATAGAGCTTTTAGGACATTACACACATCATTCTTGAAATGAGAATGTGTTTCTCCTTTAATTTTGTAAACCTTATTTTTTATTGTCTCCTTTAAGTCTTAGAAGCTGAACAAAACTAATGGAATTTCTTTAATTTTAACGTATTGAGTGATAAACAAAAATATTAGCTATGTTCAAGGTACATTTGATATATTTTATACTTCCACAGTATAGTGACTTAATTTTTAATTTGATTTTTTTAAGTTTTAAGTGATATTCTTGTGCAAAATATTTCTGTGTAAATGATAGACACAGACAATAGCAAAACCACTAATAGTAATAAAATCTTTAGCCACTAAATTAACTATATCAGAATGTGCAAGAATATAATCAGATCATTTAAAATGATCAAAATTAGCATACACTAAAATAGCATGTCTACATTGTTTCTGTTCCCCAATAAAATATAATTTTATTTTGGAGGGATATTGTGTGCGTTACATTCACCACTGAAATCTCATCACCTAGAACACAATTTGGGAGGTATCAGTGATCAATGAACACTTGTTAAATGAATGAATGCATGAAAAGCAGACGTTCAGTTAATGTTTATGAAATTAATAAAGAGACTTAATTGTTACCAAGAACAAAATGTTTAAAATGCATTTATAATTTCAATTTGCTCGTACATTTTTCCACTTATCTTTTGAACAGTATATTGGAATGTTATTTAGACAGTAATTTTTCTGCCAATGACAGCATTGTGGTAGAGAATGCTGTCAGTAATCAGACCAGGTAAGCACTGGTTCCACCCTTATTAGCTGAATAACCTGTCAGCTAAATTCTTTAACTCAAGAAACTCTTGAACTGATTCCTCATTAAAATATTGAGGAACAACAGAGCACATGTAAAAACATTATTGTGATTAATGAAAATGTGCATGCTTACCATTTTTCATCAACAATGTTAGCTCTTATCATCATTATTGTTATTATCATTACCTTCTTTTTTCATTCCTGCTCTAAAACATTTTCTTAATCGACAGTATCTACATTGATTCCTTTTGTCCTTGTCAACAACACATTGGCGACTGAACCTGCAACATCAAAGAAAGATAAGTCATTCTATACAAAACTATCAATGATCAAAAAAGCAAATAAACAAATGGACTTTAAGTAAATATAGTCAAATTTGACTTAATAGAAAGTATGTAAGAACAATTAGCTAAGGCATTTCTAGTCTTATGATCAACATGTATGTAGAAATATAAACCTCACCTCTCACATAGTCTTTATAAAAAAATAAAACCAAACAACTACCTCATTTTTGGCCAGTGTAGATGATAATTTCTGTCATGAGTCATGAAAGTCAAACCCAGTTTTAAAATCTTTGTCATATAAATTTTAGCTACTTATTGCTAAATGATTTCAGTGAGATGGACAATATACCAAATTTAAGTCTCCTGCCCATTCATGCTTCTTCTCTATTTAAATATTATTCTGTTCATTTTAAATGACCTCACACCCAACTGAAATTTATGGGAAACATCAAATTATATATTAAGAAGTCACTAAGAACAGCATTGAGAATGTAGTTTTTATGTAATGACATGCCACTTCATGGCTGTTAGAATGGCTATAGTTGAAAAAAACAACAATGAAAGTGTTGGTGATATGTGGAAAAATTGGAACCCTCATACATTGTTGGCTAGAACATTGAATGGTGCTGCTGCTTTGGAAGTTTTAGCAGTTCTAAAGAAGTTAAACATAGAGCTAACACATGACACAGCAACTCCATGCTAGGTATATACTAAGGAGAAAAAAGAACACATGTGCATAGCAGCATTATTCATAAAAGCTGAAAAGTGCAGTGATGAGCAGATAAAATGTTTGTCCACACATGGAATGTTACTTTCTATCAATAAATAGGAATGAAGCACTGATATGTGGTACAACATGGATGAATTTGAAGCACTTCTATTGTACATGTGTCTGACTAGGCACAAAAGGCCACATATTATATGATTTCATTTATAGGAAATGACCAGAAGAGCTAAACCTATAGAAACAGGAAGTAGATCAGTAGTGGCCCCATCTTACTGGATAGGAAGTGGGGGTATTGGGGAGTGACAGCTAAAGGTTCTTACAAGACGATGAAAATGATCTAAATTGCCTATAGATGGCTGCACAACTCTGAATATGAAAAAAAACTAAATTGTATACTTAAAAGAAAGAGTAGTGTTTTAGAGGTAGGTTTGAGCCTCATTCCCAGGTTCACCATTCACTCTCAGTAGAACTTGGGGTTGTAAAACAACATCAATCTACAACTGTATCTTAAGATCTTGCTTTAAAGGGTCTTATATAAATGTACTTTATAATTTAGGGCACCTATTAGCCACACAGTAACCAATGAAATTGCTTCAAAATTCTTGTATATAGGTGGTGATATATCCTGATTACTTGAGCTGATTATTAAATGAAAAAATATTTTGTGACCAGTGAAGAAACTTTAAAATATATGGGTGGCCATTTAAAACTGAATGTGAGGTAAAGCCTATTTGAAACAAGTTCAGCTAGAACCAAGGTGTACTTTCAGAGTGAGGAAAGCTGTGTTCATTTGAATGCAAGGCTGAGGAAACTACGCAGAAGGGATCAGATGACCAAAAATCATAGGCAGAGCATATCCCATTAACATAAATTAAATTAATAACAAAGATTAAATAAGCATGCAGGGATTAAACAAATACTACCTGTTTCCCCCATTCAAGGAAATTATAATCTAATAGAGTACACATACAAGTTTACAAATAACCATTATCAAAAACATTGTGTGAGAAGTATTGAAATAACATTTAAAGTGCTTTAGGAGGCAAAGCTGAGTGAACTTCAGTATGATGGAAGAGTTAGAGTGGAAACAGAATTTACAAATATAAGGAACTAGATAAAGTCAAAACCAGTAAAACCTGAGCTAAAAAGCAAATACACAACAGCCAAAAACCTATGCCCCTAAATGTGCGTCAATACAATGACTATTTCCAAGAGGAAAATCATGCATTTGCTTAATATCAAAGCACATAAAGAAGGCTATGTTGGCAACAGCATACATAGTGGGAAGGTATGAGAAGTTACAACTGTCCCTGTTGCTAGGATACTTATTAAATGTCTAAAAGCTGCTCAGCAGAGGTTAGTCAGGCTCAGAAGACCAAAAATTGTATGTTCTCCCTCATATGTGGACTTTAGATCAAGGGCAAAGGCAGGAATGTTGTTAGACTTGGGTCACACACTAAGGGGATAGCACATATGGGAGGAATGGGGATAGGTAGGAAACCCAAAACTTGAAAGTGTTTGATGTCCCCGCTCCAGAGGAACTAATACAGAAACCTTAAAGTGACAGAGGTCAATATGGGAGGTGACAGGGAAGTAGTGAAGAGGTCAGGTAGAGATGAATCAATTCGGGTTGTAATACACATGTGCATGGAAGCAATGCTAGGAATCTCTCTGTATAGTTATCCTTATGTAAACTAGCAAAAATGCTATGTCTTTCTTATTATTGCTTATGTCTTCTCTTCAACAAGATTAGAGAAAAGGGCAGAACAGGTTCTGCCTGGAAGCGAGGGGGATTGGGGAGGGAAAGGGAAGGAATGGGGGACAGGGGCGGGGGCGGGGGAGAAATGGCCCAAACAATGTATGCATATATGAATAAATGAATAAAAAAAAGAAAGAAATTGGGTCTGGACCCACTTAGACATAAATTCCATTTTTTTTTTTTTTGTCTGCAACTTGAGCTCAAGTAATCCTCCTGCCTCCACCTCTAAAAAAAAAAGCTGCTCAGGAAGCAACTTCCCTGCTTGCCCCCAGAGAAAGGGCAGAAATTTCAAAAGTCCTTGTGCTGGTATTCTCAGCTTCTTAAAAGTTGTTGAATTTAATTGTTTTAATCACCATTTTTCACTCCAAAAAATGTTGTTTTGTTTTTATTTGAGTTGTTAATTTTAAGAATACCCTATATTTAAGGTAATCATAGAGAAAATGTTTTTGATGAAGGAAAATGATCTACTTTTATCTCTAGAGTTTTTATGTATATAAATACTAAATACTAAATACACCTAACTACTCTTTTCTCTTTATCAAGTTTTTAAAGTGGGCGATTAACATTTCTATTAACCTACATCACACTCTCCTGCAAAAACTCCTAGAGAACACTAGGTAGGTATTAGGAAAGTTATGTATTAACTTTTATTACACCTTGAGAAATCAAATGGCACCATGCAGAGATTCTTTCTCTTAGAACCATGTAACAGGGTGGGGGGTTCAATCTCCAGTCCCACACTGTTAACATGGCTATCACTGACTAATGGAACAAATGCAGAGATTCTTCTGTTAAAATCAGTAAATCTGGCCAATAACCTAGATTCATCCTAAATGTAATTTGCCTTCAAGAACTGTTATACCAGAGGCTGGGAGAAATAAAGGAGAATGGTGGATGTGAATAAATAAAAATAATTTTAAAAAAGAACTGTCGTACCAATCAGGTACAACATCTAAACCTAAACTCAGTTATTATGTTGACTAGATAATATTTTTTTAAAAAAAGACTACTAGAAATGTGTGACACTTACAATTAGTTGATAACTTTTGGACAAAAGATTTAAATTCATGCTGGGGACCAGTGGCTCATGCCTGTAATCCTAGCTAGCTGGGAGGCTGAGATGAGGAATATCTAGGTTCTAGGACAGCCCTGGCAAATAGTTCATGGGACCACATCTACAAATAATCAAAGCAAAATGGGCTGGAGATGTGGCTCAAGCAGTAGAGCACCTTCTTTGCAAGCACAAAACCCTAAGTTCAAACCCCAGTCCCACTTATAAAAAAGAAAAATCTTTAAATGTAGAAGCAAAAAATTTAGCATGAGAAACACACTTTAAATTTTAGAACTGAAAATTAAACTTCAATCATTGAAATAAATAAGCTACAAAATCATCTACATTTTATAATTTTTTTAAAAGACTCAGGATGTAGTGACACTAAAAAGGAAATCAACATATCAAAAAATACACAACTTGAGAAGCCATTTAAATATAGATGTTAAAATGTTTAGTGGTGTATGAACATATGATAAAACAATAAAGAGACACAAGGAAAAGATCAACACCAAATTCCAGATGCTAGTAACCTCTATGAGACTAGGAAGAAAGGCAAAGTGGCAGGGGAGGTGTCCAAAGGAGGATTCAACTATATTGGTCTGAACTGGGTGGTAGGTATGAGAGTTTTTTTATATACCTTTTATAAGTCTAAAATATTCATAAAAAAGAAACAACTGTGTGAATGTGTCCTGAGTACATAGCCAAACATCCTCACTTTTATTACAGTCTACAGATTGTGCTCACTGTATTACAGGTCTACGAAAGATCTATATTTTCTTCCCTTAATTCTTGCAGGACATTTTCTAACATCTCTAATGATAACTTTCCTTTTTCCAAGTACCTGCAGGAATAAACGTGACTTTTGCGTATGCTGCGTCTGAAGAAACCCTTGCACCCATCACAGCTCGACGCCCCATAGTGTTTTCCCGTTGCTCTGTCCCCACATATCGCACATAGACAGTTGACACCGTTGTCTGTGGTATTCATACTTGTTGTCTCTGGGGCAGAACTATCTGTTAAAGAAAAATGAAGAATGCAGTGATAGTTACTACTGAGTATTTCTTGATTAAGTTGCTCTATTATTTGATAGGCCCCAAAGAGTTCATTTCTTGTCTTCTTTGAGTCCTCAGTGCTTTACTTTTAACCACTGGCTGTTCCATTCTAAGCGCCCATCTCCTATTTCTGGCCATTAAATTTGGGGACAGCATAGGGCTCAGTCCCCGCAACTACACTGTTTCCCAAGGGAAGCTCATGCACTCTCTTAAAGCTAAATATCACCTGTATATATATAATCCTTGAATTTTATTTCTGCCCTGATAGCTCCCCTGGACATCAGTCTGAATGGCTTAAATAGCTACTTAAGAAATTCACTTTTAAGTCTAATAATAATTATAAATTAATACATCTAGAATAAAACTTTGATTTTTTTTCCCTTCTGAGGATCTTGTTCTTCCTTCAGTCTTCCTTGTATTAGCCAATGTTCCATCCAATACCCAGAGCCAGTAACTTGGGGTCTTCCTTCTCGTCTCCATTTTCCTTCGTGTTCAACCCATATGCAAGTCCACATTTGAAGTACATATTTAACCCAACTTTTCTCCCTTTCAGCCTCATCATCCTTCATCCAATCTACCACCAGCCTTCCCATGTATTACTACAATAACTCCCTTTCTAATTTTCCTACATTCATTCACCCTTGCCCCCCTACTGTTTATCTATTACCCTAGAGCCACCAAAGTGATCCAGGTTTAAAAAGTTCATGTCACCTTTGTGCATCCAACCAACCCAGCCACGACTTGCCATTAGACACAGAGTAAAGCCGACGCTCTTCACCATAGCCTATTAAGCCTTGCCACAATGAAGTCCCCAGCCCTCACCAACCCCACCTCTCTGATCCCAGTATGTGCTACCACTTTTCATGCTGTTTACCACCCAACAGGAAAGTTACCTTTTAAATCTCCTCCAAGGCCTATTCTCATCTTGAAACTTTCATCCTTGCCTGGAAGAAGAAGACTTCTCCAAGCTTTTCTTTGAGCTAGCTATGAGGTTTTTGTTCAAATTGCATATTTTGTATGAGACCTCCTCTGAGAATACATCTAATAGTCAATTCCCATTGGCCCTTCAACTACCGCCCAGAGCTATGCTTCTTCTTATTATTTTAAATAACAATGCCATTGACTAAAATTATGTTTTGGTTTGCTCATTTATTAACCATCTTTACATGTAAAATATAAACTTCATGATGCCAGGGAATTTATCTACCTTATTCATTTTTCTGTTCTCTAGGTCTTAGAATTATGCTCAGAATATAGTAGCAACTGATGTAGAGTTCTGAAGTAAGGGGCATTCAGAGCATTTATATGTAGATATTTTTACTAAACAGATATTTATTAAATGAATTCATATTGCTGAAACATATTTACAAATCTGTATGCACTCAGGAGATATTAAATATATATGACAGTGTATTTAAATTGTAATTTATCATGAATTATTCAGATTATATAGACATAATAACAATGCATTTTATGTCTGTAATGTAACAAAAAAAGAAATTAAATCATATACTAATTATGCTCTCTATATATTACATATATTTTACTAATTAATGATTCGGAATAGATACTCTCATATATAATTTCATATACTTGAAAAAACATTAATGAGAATATATTTAAGGTTAATCATATGACATAGAATTTAAATGCTAAGAAGTTATCTTTTGTAACATTAACAAAATAATTAATAATATTGAAATTAAAAGTGTTTGGAATTGATTGTATTCTGGAAGGTTATATGGAAATACTAAAAGCAAATTCAAGTCTTGCTTCGAGTTCAATGCCATATTCACAAATAATCTGCAATGCTATTAAAAAGAAACAAGTTAGATGATACTTTATAAATACCTAGCTAAGTTAGTTGTTTTTAGTATATATTGGTAAATACTTGTGGTAAATATTGATATTATATTTGTAACTACCACTTAGGAATGGAGTTTTTTTTAAAGGCATGATTCTATTGAGACTATTACTCTCTAAATATCTCCAAACTTGTGAGTTCATAAAGCTTCAGTATAGGTTCATTTTAGCTTGATTTGTGTTAAAATTCAGACTTAACATTTGATAATTTTTTAAATCTCCCTATTAATAAGCTATGGCTTACTGGAAATATAACCAGAGATTCAGTCATACAAATTTCATAATATTTTAGAGCACTAAGATATCTTTAAGATACAAGATATTTCTCAATTCTGAACTAAACATACATACATGCACACACTTTTTCAAAGCAGATACACAATTGCAAGTTCTAACAATTACAATCCATCTTGAGTAAGACTATTACTCGAGGAAAAAAAAACCCTAAATTCTAAGTCAATAGTAAACCATATTACATAAAAACACAAACCTTAAATAATTCATCTCTTATTTAAAGTTAAAATGTTACAGTGGATAAAGACCAACAGATTTATGTGGCTAAACATTAGCCTGTTAAATTACTTTATAATATAAACCTTCATTTCTTTTCATATTTGTGTTCAATGCAAAAAGTGCATGGTGATTTTAAGTACAGTTTCTCATGAACAGCACTTGAGAACAAAAATAATTAAAGAATGAGGCAATCGGTAAAATTTCCCATGTGCTATGGAAACTGTTCCATAAGTCATTTTAAGTACTGCATAGAAAACATACTTTCATGGCTAGTCTGTCAATATTACTTATTACTATGATTTACAGTAAATAAAATAATTGCTGAAACTACCCTTTTTACTTCTTTAACTAGAGGTTACTTTATCACTCAAAAGTAGGCTTTTCTAGCTCTGACATAAAATGCCATAGCATTCTTAATTTAAATTTTGTGATGAAGTGCAAAAGCTCAGATTTGTAGTCTTAAAAAGCAAGCATGGAATTCTTTAGCAACAATATATTGAACCACACCCTTGGGAAATCAGTTTTACTTCTGCTGTACTTAACTTTTAAAAATATATCTATAAGCAGATGAGAACTCACCATTGGAATTATATAGAATCTGCATAGTTTCAAACTCCAAAGTTGTATAAGTTGGGTCCAAAACTTCACTGTAATTTCCCATGTCCATGTCCAATATCGGTTCTGATACCCTCATCATTGACTGAGAGACACACATACAAGTGGCACCAGAGTGTGGTGACGGTTTTGCTTTCAATCTGTGAGGGATAATTCTGAGCTAACTGTAACTGAGTGACTTAAGTGCTGTTGTGGGAGGGGCTGTAAAACTGTAACCTCCCTCAGCAGGCCATGTTCTGCTTATTTCTTCTTTTATGGCATACGAGAGCAATCCTTGTGATAATCTTGGAATGCTTCATGGAATTGCCTTATCTGAAGTGCTTAGTGGACTAACATGATTTCCTAAATTGATTTCCAGGAGACAATAAATTATGTCATTTATTGAAGGGTTAAACATAGAAAAGAGAATCTCTCAGATTTTAAACTATAATTATAATATATGGTAGTCCATGCATGGGGCTTGAAACCATATACCACATATTTTGAAAGCTAGAACTTACTTTGTTGTCGTGTTTGATAAGTCAAGGCTATAAGTTACCATTTAACACACTGAGCACATAGCAGTTTTAGGTTTTCTTACATGTACAATTAAACCACCTTCATTTTGGAGTAAAATTAATTCATACTTTGTAATGACAGGAATGAATAATATGTTCTAGTAACATCCTGGGAGAACCCCAACATAACCTGTAAAATATTCTTTGTAATGATCAATTTATGTGCCTATGTCCCTTCTATGTTTGTAAACTTCTAATGGGATAGAACCAGTACAATTGGGAGTATCTTATAGGAATTCAATTAATAATTGTTGAACAAATAAGGTTGTATTTCTTCTGACTTCTGATGCTTATTACATTCTAGGCATTAACCTGAAGTGAAATTATCCCTAAGGTGTGGATTCACACATTGTAATCATCAATCTTCATTTGTGTAACATATAAGGTCTTTTATGTGTATTTGTGTCATGAAGCATTTAGTTTGGGGAATATTTAGATGACACAATCATCTAAATTCCATCAGTAATTTTACTTTTGAAAATTTGTTTATTGATTTTACTTTCCAAGAAAGTATTGCAGGCCCACACATTCAGAATTCATTTTTCTATACTAAAGATTACAGTAAATTAATCTTCTTAATACCATATACCTCATGAATACTCTGTCTTAGATATTATTATATTTTTCATTCATAAAATATAAAAATTAATATATTTTTCATATCCAGGCCTAATAAGGAAAAATTCAAAATCATGTGAATCTGAAGAAAAAAGCAGTCATATGAACAGCCAAATCCACCATATCAAAGTGATTACTGGAATATCATTCTTTTGCTCATATTACTACTCTTAACTGTATTAGTCGTACAATAATATTAATACTTTTACTTAAGAGAGAGTCCCTCTAGGTAGCCTAGGTCAGCCTCAAATTTACAATCTCCTGCCTCTTCTTCCTTAGGGTTGGGGTTACAAATATGTGTCAGCATGCCTGGCTTAATAATATTTTTAAACAAATTTTAAGAACTAATTTTCTTTGATAAAGGCTAAACATATTACTCAGTTTTCAGAGAAGTGGCAATGAATAAGCACTATGGTTTTCATGTGTGTGAAATAGCTCAATTTGTGGTGAAGTAACAAAAATAGGCTTCTTGTCAGAACTCAAAGGGTGAATTGTGCAAAGCCCACACCCCTTCCCATCTGTGTGGAAGAGGAACACTGAGGGATGTCATCACTGAGTGTGTCTCGACATAAGGAAAAAAGAAAGAAAAAGGTAGGGAACTTTCATTTACAAGACTAGAAACACTAAAAACAATGTGGCTATAGCTCAAGAGAATAATGTTATAGTTTACTGTTCTACCCCATCCCATTCCCATAGTGGAAATGACTAAAGAACAGGATATTCTACCCTAAGAGAGAAGGGGCTACAGATGGAATCACCTCCTCACAGTTCTTGTATTTAATGTGAGCCAGTTTTCAAGATGGAACTTGTTGGCACCCCTGTTATTTTTTTTTTTTTGAAGTTTTTTTCCAATGTTTATGTACATTGTTTTAAACAAATTTTGGATAATAATATATATATAATTTAACCTTTATTTTCATACATGACAGTATCACATACTTTTTAAAAATACTTAATTTGATTGAGCACCCATGTTATTGTAATTTTTTATCATTTTTACACTTACATGTGTAAATTGTTTGTAATTTTTTTTATTTCATAGAGTAAGACCATGAGAATTTCCAGAAGCTAGAGTAGATTCAGAGTGGCAGGCACATTTCCTCAAGTGCATGTGTGTCTTCCTAATGAGACTGAGATGTTGAAAACACCCACAGAATTCAGTCAGCCTTAGTCTGGCAAAGGAAGGTTTCTCTAGCCTTTTATTCAGAGATTGCAAAGTACAGAGGAAGCTCTCTTTTCTTAAATCCTATGGCTGGTAATTTGCTAAACTAATTAAGAAAATAAAATAATTAGAAGAGAGAACCATGAATATGGTATATGTGTATTTAATAGCTTATTAAATGCTATTGTTTTGTTACAGAATCAAGACTATTTCATTGAATATGAATCTGTTAATGAGAATTCTTTATCAGGTTTTGTCTGCATAAATCTTCACTTCCTTTAATCGCTACTATTTTTTTAAATAAAGACAGTCAATGCTACCTATAAAATAACATGAAAGCTCAGGCTTTTTAGAATTTTACAATTTAAAAAAATGTTTTGTATATTATAGTCAACTTGCTTTTATTCAATTCCAAAGTATTTCCCTTGGTTTTTATGGGAGGAGGGTAAGACTCTTCTTATAGTCAATATGCATTAAATATACAATATTTAACTACATTATGAAAAAAAATAACAATAATGGAATGACATGTTTGGTAACCACATGCTTGTGTTACCTAACTCTTGATAGGCAAGCCAGGTTGACGAGATGTACTTTCCATGATAGGTAAACCAGGAAAAAAATTAGCATGTTTCCCAAAGGAAATTAAGAGTCTGAATTAATTTTGGGAGTTAATTAAATGGAAATAGAGTTTCTCTTCTACTGAATTTGACTTGAAATAATTTGTATTTATAAAATAACTTATATTCCTCTTTATGAACAATCCTTATTTTCTACTTCTGAAATCAGTTAGGCTGTACTCAGAATATTTTCAAATCAATTAGGCTGTACTCAAAATATTTTCATTTGTTTAAAGAAGAGGGGAGCATGAGGAAGATGATTTTCTGATCACCTGAAAGAAGAAAATTTCAGAAACAATTTTAGCCATAATTAATTTTGAATTTTTAGGTATACATCAGAATCAAAATAAGACTCACACTCTGGTTTTCCTTTTGTTTTCCAGTCACTAGTGATTAAGGAGTTTTCATAACCCAAAAAAACAAACCATAGCATAGTTGAACAAAATGAAATTATAAAAGTAAATTGTATAAACCTCATGTACATGAAACAGACAGAGCATTTGTTTATTTGTTTCTACATTAAAACTCAGTTATTTTTCAGGATAAGGGCAAATAGATATCAGCCAGGTAGTCTTTTATTTTTGTTTAATGAAGTCATTCCTATGAGTAAATCATTGAGGCTACATTAGACTAACAGCTTAAATAATTAAAAGAAAAACTATATTACTTTTATGCCTAACTGATAATAGAAAAAAAGTTACCCTTAAATAAATGGGACTGATGTTTCTAAACCCTACATTCAATAAAAAGGTATTATTACTTTTAATTTTACTTCTAAAGTTTAATTAGAGAAAACACCATATATGCATGCTAACATATAAAACTGTAATTTAAAATAAGTAACACACATTTTCAGAAGTAGAAATATATAAACTTATTCTATATCCAAAAATATATTTATAAATGATAAACTATGACCTATTGAAAAATCTCTCCTAACAGAGGCAACTTTACAATATCTGTTCTCAAAGCTGAGCAAGATATTACTATTGTTTTGTGTAATCTCATGTTTTGTGGCCAAGATGCACTGCCTTGGTCCTAGTAGGTCAAACACTCCAAAGAGAATGACAACATAGTTTGTAGATAAAAGGTCAACTTTAAGAAGTAAGACTAATGATTCTGAAAAACATTTTTTCTAAAAGCAATGGCTCTATAAACTGGCATGTGAAATACATTACTTAAGTTTCTTTAGAACAACTAAAAGAGATGAAAATAGTACAGTGTTTGAAGAAGATGTCAACTTGATACCTGTTGACTATTCCAGATAATAGCAGAAACATTTCTATCTTATCTGTAAGACTATTAAGTCTGTTAAATTGTTCCAAACTATATATTTGATTTAATCATTCCTTCATAGCGTGATTTAAAATAGAAAACAGGCTAATAAAAATCAAGGCTATTTTCATGAGAGAATCTTCATGAAAATAATTTGTGATTCTGATACCAATATTAAAAACATTTTATTTCAAAGTAGACAGTAATATTTCCTATATTTTTCCCATTCCATATTTACATATTCCATGTTATAAATATGAAGATGACATGCATATGATTACCAAAAGGTAAATGAAGAACAGTAGCAATGCAAATCAACCCAGTGTATTTTTCACTGTAAAGAGAAAACCATTAAGCGGAGACTTCTACTCAACAAAGTAACTCATGAAATCAAAGCAAAACAATTTTTCATTTCTCAAAAATACCCTCAATTAAAAAACATGTACTTCCTTGCCACCACTGTCCTAAATTAATCATCATTCCTCTTTTAAAATAACACAACTTTGCCTTTTCTGCCTAACTTTAATGAGAGAAAATAAGCAAATTTAAAAAATTAAAACAACCAAACAAAAATTAGAAAATGACTCTTCAAAGCAAGTTGCTACCACTGACTTACAAATAAGTTTGGAATTGGCCTTAAGGATGTACGTCTAGTTTCAAAGAGATGAGTACAGACATTTAGACCAAACTCATACCTAACATATGCTGATATTTATTATTATTATTGAAACATTTCCTGCCTTAGCATTGCTGAAAATTCAGTGAATCTAAGTTGAACTATCACAACTTTGCTTGCACAGATTTATAATTCTCTTTAAAGAATTATAATTATCCCATAGCTCATTTC